GGGCTTTGCCCTCCGCCGCCCTGCAGCCAGCACCGAGCCTCGCTGGAGTGCCTGCGGGTCCCTCTCCCAGAGGCTCTGCTTGAGCTCGCTGTGTTTGCCTTGGAGCATTGGGTCTGGACCGTGTCGGAGAAGGGAACAGAGCTGGGGAAGGGGCTGGAGCACCGTTTCTGGGAGGAGTGGCTGGGGTGGGGGGGTGCAGCCTGGAGAAGAGGAGGCTCAGGGGAGACGTTATTGCTCCCTACAGCCCCCTGAAAGGGTGCAGAGAGTTGGGGGTCAGTCTCTTCTCCCAGTGTCAGGCATTGGAACTGTGTGCTCAGAGCCGGGGCATGGGGAGTCACCATCCCGGGAGGGATTTATGAGACAGGACATGGTTTAATGGTGGTATTAGCAGCATTAGGTTAACGGTCAGACGTGATGATCTTAAAGGTCTTTTCCAACCTAAAGACTCTGTGATTCTAAAATCACCCCCGCCGGGGGTGCGACGTGTGCTGGTGGTGGTATGGGCCAGCAGCAGCACCGTGTGACTCCAGGCTGGGTTTGCTCGCTGTGGCTGGGCAGAAGTCGCTGAGTGTAAAGCTCGTTGCTGCTGGTTTCCATCACCTCTCCTGCTCACAGCCATTACACTGCTTATTTCAAGGGTTGAGTTCAAGTTTGTCAGGTTGCGGTTCCAAAAATCATCCAAGTGTTGGATCTGGTAGTGCTATTTTCTAGTTTTTTGGTTTGTGTGCCCTTTGCTCTCCAGAAATGAAGAGTGTCGGCTCATGCTTATTTCCCAAATACTTGCTCTTAAAATGTCTTGGGGAGCAGTTCCCGGATGAGCCCATGTCAGAGCTCTTTTCCCCAGCAGAAAGGAGAGCAGAGCAGTTCAACTCGTGTAGCAAACAGATAAGAGACAGGATTGTAACTGCTCCTGGTGTCAGGCTTGTTTTCTCGATGTCACCGTTGCTCTGCACGCTGAACCCCAGAAGGGAGATAGTTCATAACACTTGATACAAATCCTCATCTTACTTCTTTTTCCAAGGCCTAAGGTACGATGACTAAAACTCTTTAAATCTCTCCTAGCAAAGTTCTTGCGTCCACAGAATAATCTGTTTCTTCTTCACTGAGAGCCGTAATTTAATAGAGCTGGTGCTGGGCTGCGCTACCTTCCCTTGTGCTGTGGCGTAACTGACCCAACTAATTCATGTTCTCAGCTTGGCCCCTCGCAGCACATGTGATTTTGGCAGCGCTTTACCTCTTTCCAAACTTCAGTCTTCTACTTGTGAGATGCTGAACAAGGTGGAGAGCATTTTCCACTCTGGGATTCTGAAGCAGCAGTGGCCAGGCATTGCAGATTTCTGTTCCACGCCAGTTTAGTCAGCAGAGGCCAAAATGACCCTTTTGCCACAGGAAGCTCTTGAGCGCATTCGCTCTGGCTGCTGTTGCAGTCTCTGCTTGGTGGAGAATTCCTGTAACGCTGAACTTCAGAGGCTTCTCTTTCTTTGCAGAAAAAGTTAGAAAACCTGAAGAGTCTAGACCTTTTCAATTGCGAGGTAACCAACTTGAACGATTACAGAGAAAACGTATTCAAGCTCCTCCCACAACTCACATACCTCGATGGCTACGATCGGGATGACAAAGAAGCGCCAGACTCTGATGCAGAGGGCTACGTGGAGGGCTTAGACGACGAGGAGGAGGATGAAGATGGTATGTGAATTGTGCTACTTAGTGTACGTAAGTTAAAAGAGCGATGTGCTGCCTAGTACGTTCTGCTTCCAGCTCTGACTTGACTTGACAGAAGGAAGCAGCTCCTTCCTGACTGATGTAAAGGAGAAGTACCTCAGTGTCCTCTGAAGGAACGAGGGGAAAGGAGATGGGCAGGGCCTGAAAGAACTACTTTCTCAGTCTTATCCCTAGTGAAAGATCGGGATGACAAAGAAGCACCGGACTCTGATGCAGAGGGCTACGTGGAGGGCTTAGACGACGAGGAGGAGGATGAAGATGGTATGTGAATTTGTGCTGCTTGGTGTACGTAAGTTGAAAGACTGATACACTGCGTGGTGTGTTTTGCTTCCAGCTCTGAATTGTTGGCAGGAAAAGGGTGTCCTCAGCAGCTCCTTCCTGACTGCTGTAAAGCAGAAGTGCCTCAGTGTCCTCCGAGGGAGCGCGGGGAGAGGAGATGGGCAGGGCCTGAAAGCTACTTTCTCAGTCTTATCTTAGCGAAAGGTGGGGGGTGAAGGGGTGGTAGAAGAAAGGAGGAGGAATAAGAGACTGAAAGAGTTCAGGGAATGGAACGAGAATGTGAGGCGGAAGTGGGTAAGAAAGGATGGTGTGGACATGCTGCAGTTTACCAGGAGCGGTACGATGTGGGAAGTATGAGCAGTTGTGTAGAGCCTGATGGAGCAGGGCAGGGTGGAGAGCCAGACTGGGCATGGAAACAAGTAGCTGAGTCAAGGAACTAAGTAAAGGAGCCAGGGCACTAACAGGAGTCTGTAGCTGTTCCGTGAGGACAAAATGATCTAGTTGAGATGAGGCAGAAGAGAGGAGAGTGTCTGAAGTCTGCCTGGGGCAAGCTCTGTGAAAGGCACTAATGAAGCAGCGAGCAGCTTCCTAATGTTAGGAAGAAGCATGGTGGGCTCCACTGTGCTGTAGGTGCCGTTCTGCTTCCCGGCAGGCTGCACTCGGAGGCAGCAGTGTAGCAGTCGGATGGGTATCCGGCTGAGTTTGGGGAATTTGCTAGACTCTTCAAACCCAGCCGCACAGCAAAAGCAGAATAGCTGGACTTGCACTTTTCCCTCGAGTGCTGAGTGTGAGCTCTGGAGAGGGGCGAGCGCTGCGGCAGAGTGGTGCAGCCAGCCAGGTTTAGCAGGGACAGGTTCTCATGAGAGCACAAGTCTGGGCCTGCATGCAGATGCATGCAAAAGCTCCAAAACGCCATTCCTGCAGCATGGAAAGCACTTTCTGGTTTGTCGCTTGGGCTAGCTGCGTTGCATCTCTTTCCTCTTGAAAAGAGATTGCAAAGCCGTAGGGTGGATTGTGTGTGTGACCCTTCTGTGTCGCCTGAAGGCAAGGGATGTCCCTCGGTGAGGGCTCCCAGGGCATGGTTGGCTTCTGAAGTGCTGCTCTGTCCTTGCGGGGAGCAGATGGACACTTGCAGACAAAGAGCTGCAAGTGAAGATGAAGATCTACGAGGAACCTGGGGGGGCTTTTCCCAAGGGCAGGGAGTGCCAGGACAAGGGGTAACGGGTTTAAACGGACAGAGGGAGCTGGAGATGGGACATCAGGAAGGAATTCTTCCCACAGAGGGTGGGGAGCACTGGGACAGGTTGCCCAGAGAAGCTGTGGATGCCCCATCCCTGGAAGTGTCCAAGGCCAGGCTGGATGAGGCTTGGAGCAACCTGGTCTAGTGGAAGGTGTCCCTGCCCATGGCAGGGGGTGGGGCTGGGGGTGCTTTAAGGTCCCTTCCAACTGAAACCATTCCGTGATTCTATGATCTGCAAGTGTCCTACAGGCTCAAAACCATGTGTTAGTAATGGACACTGGAGCAGCTGAAGCCAGAGCAGCCCCGAGGCTGCCGTGACTTACTGTCAGGGCCCCTGAAGCCCTAGAGCAGCTCAGACCATGGGCAGCTGCCACACAACCCTGTCATTAGCCTAAAGAGGCTCAGGGCGACATCCCGCCCTGTCTAGCAGCTGGAGAGCTGCCTTTAACCCTGTCCTGCCCTTACGCAGTGCTTGCAGGTTGCTCCTTGTGTGGGTAGCTCAGGTCTCAGGTGGCAATGTTGGGGGGGAAAAGTAAACTTCAAAGGACTGAGTTGATCTTGTTTGCCTGTACAGAAGAGGAGTATGATGATGATGCTCAGGTAGTAGAAGATGAAGAAGATGAGGAGGAAGAGGAGGAAGGAGAAGAGGAGGATGTGAGCGGAGAAGAGGAGGTGAGGATTTATGCAGTTAATAACAGGCATGCAGTCAAAATTGTCTAACTGGGAAGAGTTAGGCAAGAAATGGAGCAAATATCAGAGGCTTTCAGTACTTGAAGCGTGCACTTTCTTTTTCACTTGAGAAGCGTGGCAGGGGGGTGGCTTTGAGGCGTGCCTGTCTATGAGCCAGCTGCCATCTAGTGACCATTGACACGAAATCGTTCTGTTTATCGCGCTGTCAAACAGTACTGCCGGGAGGGCCTGCAGGCCTCGCCTGTGGTGCCTTAGCAGGGCTGTAACCCCCGTACGGACGGGAGAGCGGTACCGGAATCGCTGACCCTCTGCTCTCGGGAGGGTTCCCTTTTGGGCACGTACCTTGCGATGCTTCAGGATGTTTAAATTCTCAGCGCGTGGGGTGCGAGGAACCGGTCACGCCTGCTGAGGCTTTGCTGATATCGCAGCCCCTGGGAACAGGGCTAGGAATTGGCTGTAGGAGGTTGTGTTGTCCATCTTCCGGCCAAACACTCCTAGATATTTAACTGAATGGCTGGTCAGCCTCTTCGCAAAACCAACAGCAGCTCCTCCGCCTCTGGAGGTGTCAGTTCATGTTTTCAACTCTCTCTGCCCCCTAGAATATGTGTTTTTGCTGACCAGTCAAGTTTTACTGACCTCAGGGCCAAAAATCTGCAGCCACGTATCAGCGTGGAGTATACAGCTCTTCCCTTGCCGAAGACTTGGGGCGAGAAGGGGCCGCTCCAATCGCGTGTGAGTTCTGCAGCAAAGCTCAGGCCAGAGTCCAGTTATGCTGTAGCACAGAACCCAGCACTTACATAAGTGCGTGGGACGTGTCTGCCTCCTTGTTTGTTTTTTGTTTAAGATGCTTCAAGGACTTGAAGCAACTCTCACTTTTAAAAATGCACTTGGATATTGCCAAATTGTGGAAGGGCCTGCGCTGAAACCAACTTTTTAATCCTTCTTTTCCTTTTTTTTTTGAACTCTAGGAGGATGAAGAAGGCTACAACGATGGTGAGGTAGATGACGACGAAGATGAAGAAGAGCCCGGTATGGCACTAACTCAGTTTTTGCTAGAGATAAAGTAATACTGCTGTCGTGTTTCGGGAGTAGAGTACCGGTTTTCAAAAAGCAGGCTCACGCCTGTGTTCCGGCTGCCACAGGAGAGCTTGTGGAACTTGTTCAGCTTCTCAGAGCGTGAGGGAGTGCTCGTGTAATTGAAGTTGTGTTTCATTTTCTAGATGAAGAACGGGGACAGAAGAGAAAACGAGAACCTGAAGACGAAGGGGATGAAGACGACTAAACTGAATAACCTATTTTGAAAATTTCCTATTGTGATTTGACTGTTTTTACCCTGTATTTCCCCTTCCCACACCCCTGACCTTTTTTTTTCTCTTTTTTTCTTTTTTTTTTTTTTTTTCTGATTGTAATGTTGCTGTGGGAACGAGAGGGAGAAGCAGACTGGGTGGGCAAGGGAATAAAATACTATTTTTACTGCCACTCCTCCTCCTATTCATTTTAAATATTTTCTTTTTGTCCCTCTCTTAGTCCCTGTAACTGCAATAGTAAGTATAAACCAAGTGGTAATTTGTTTCTTATTATTGGAGTGGGTAGTTCGACATCTTAAAAAGACAGAAAGGTGTGCGATCAGTGGAGGATACCCCAAACACACGTGCTCTGCTCTGGGACAGCTGAATGGCGTTGGTCATTGGGATTTGCCACCGCTGCCAGTCACTGAATACATTGCAAGGAGTTGGGTTGGGTTTTTCTGGGGGATGCTGCAGGTCGCAGCGTCCCTCCACAGCAACGGGGGTGAGAATGGCATATTGATAAAGTGATTTCTTTGTTGCCTGTCCGTGAATGACTGCCATTTTCAGCCAACGCTTTCCCTGCTTTTGGAGGTACCTTTTCTTTTGCTGTTTGTAAATAGTGACCAAATGGTTTTGTTGGGGGCTTTATTTTGGGGTGTTTTTCTTTTTTTTTTGGGAGGGGTGGAGGTGGGTGTTCCTTTGGATCTGGTTTGTGGGGTGAATTTGCAATCCCTCCCCTCCTTCCCCCTGCTCCTTGCCCTGTGTGTTGTGTGTTTTTTCCTTTCTGTTTGTTTTTTGGGGTTGTTTTTTTG